TATATATATATATATATATATATATATATATATATATATATATATATATATATATATATATATATATATATGTATATATATATATATTATAATAATAAGCAGAGTGATAATATATATTATGATATGAGGTATAGAAGTTCATGAATTTACTATATTTCCTATATATGCATATAAGAATTTTAAATTATTTTGACATATATTTTATCTTTTTATTATATATATATTATATTATATTATATTATATTATATTATAAGATTATGTTGGCTAAAGAAGACAAGAGGTTTATAGTTAAACATCTTTTATTGATGATTTTAAAATATTATATATAATATAATATATACTCACCTAAATAAAATTATAAAAAAAATTTATTACTATGATATCACATGTAAGACTAACAACAGCAGTGTGTCGAACAGAATCCTTCCTAACTTAAATCATTATGATATTTTGAATATAAATTAAAAATAAAAATTCATACCGGAGAAATTTTCATTTATCAAAAGTGACGAAGAGTTTAACAGATTCCCAATTTATAGCTATCGAAATGGTACCTATGGTTTCCATCCTATTCATATATGGATCGAAATCAAATGTCTACTATTTTATAGGGAGAGCCAACTCTAGCAAATCTAGTTAGTATCTCTTTCGATAGTTTGGTTGCTTTCACGAGAGGAGGATCATTCCATCTCCATTTAGTTGCCTATTTTGGATTGTCGTCAAATAGCATAATGTTGAATGAATCTCTCGGATAGCAACATATTACTGTCTCATGATTTGCTCTCATCATCATATCATTCATTTTATAACACCGTATGGGATGGTAATAAGAAACATTAATACTGAATAAATTTTCTCTGGTAAAATATATATATATTATTCATACGGTCTTTTTTTGTTGGTAAAAAAAAATATTTACACAAGATTTTATTTTATTTTATTTTATTTTATTTGAAAAAAATAAAATAGATATTGAATTGATTTCCCGTCTTTTCCACGACACGCATCCTTGGCGAGACAACAAAAGGCAAAGCTGGAGAGACGACGTCGGAAGCTCTATTTCCACCACCCCGCTTTGGTGATCGAAGGCGAGAGGGGGCTTAAAACCAGCGAGCTGTTTCGGTGCCTCCCCGAAAGTTTCCTTCGCCCCCAGCCCAGGATGGAAAGCCCTCCTCTTTATCTCCTCCCTTTGCTCCCTCTCATCGCTTTCCCATCTCCCTTATCTTCCTGTTGGACTGCTCTGAGCGACGGCGCTGGGTCGAGATGGGGCGAGGCAAGATAGAGATCAAGCGGATCGAGAACTCCACTAACCGGCAGGTGACCTTCTCCAAGCGCCGGAATGGCATCATCAAGAAGGCGAGGGAGATCAGCATCCTCTGCGACGCCCACGTCTCCGTCGTCATCTTCTCCGGCTCCGGGAAGATGTCCGACTACTGCACCCCCACCACCGCGTGAGCTCGCCTCCCCCTACCCGTACCCACCTTTTTCTGTATTTTTCCCCCCTTATCTGATCGGTGGATTTTTGGGGTGTTTCGGAAGGTTGCCGAAGATCCTGGAGAGGTACCAACAGAACTCCGGGAGGAAGCTCTGGGATGCAGAGCATGAGGTAACTCGCTGCGGGAGAAATCTTGCCTTTTGTCGAGCTTCGGCCTAAAAAGACTCTTCTTTTAGGCCTTTTGTTTTGATGAAAACAAGCTACAAAAACGACAACTTTAACCTGTTCATGGGTGTCTACTGCAGAGTCTGAGTGCTGAAATCGATCGGATCAAGAAAGAGAATGACAACATGCAGATCGAGCTAAGGTTTGTAATGCCACTCTATGTTTAGTCTAATTCGTTCGCGTATTTTGTATTCGGTAAAATTTGTGGTAACATGGTGTGGGGATGATTAGGCATCTGAAGGGGGAGGATCTGAACTCACTTTACCCTAAGGAGCTGATCCCTATCGAAGAGGGCCTCCAGATTGGGCTCGCCAGCGTGAGGGATAAGCAAGTGAGTTTCCTTTTTCTTTTCTTCTGATTTGATTTGATTTGATTTTATCTGTGCAATTGAGGTGGTGTTGGTGTTGCTGGATCTTACCGATGTGTTCCTTACCTGTTGTAGATGGAGATCTGGAAGATGCACAAGAAGAATGTAAAGATCCAATAACCAACTCATGTCCTTTCCTTTTGATTTGTTCAAATTACTTGTTGCCTTTTGTTTCTCCCTCAAACCATATCTTCCATGCAATTCTCAGGAGAAGTTGCTCGAGGAGGAGAACGAGCAACTGACTTGTATGCTGGTAATGATACTTCCTATCGGACGACGATCTTCTCATTTCAGATGCTTTCTGCAGGGCATGCCATATAGATGCACAGATTATATAGTTGATGTCATCTTGTCTAGGCAACACTTGTTGCATCTTTCATTACGACGCAGAACGAAAACAAAATCAAGAAAATACTCCTAGAAAAGATTATAGCAAACTGACCTAAGGGAGGACGAGTGGAATCAACTCTTTATAGTGGTGAAGACTTTTACAATATTTGAAAATATTATTTCTTGATGATTCTATAGGCTTAGAGGAGATCTTTATTTATACTAGTTTTAGGTCTTAAAAATTAGTTAACTAGCAATGTGAGATAAATTTAGGCTTTGAAAACTAATTAACTAGTAATATGAAATAAAAGAAACATAAAAATGACAAGGGGACAACTTTAGGTTCTTTGAAAATAATCTTCTTGATTACTATAGCTTGGATCATTTTACTCGGCACTATTTTGTGGAATGTGTTGATATTTGGACTTAGAATTACATACTTTTCAATGTTTTTTCCTGTGAAAGTAATGTTTATTGATGGCCATCGGGTTTCATGAATTCAGCACCACCAGCAACGGGCAATGGAAGGAAATGTCATGGAACTGGAGGTTGGGTATCATCAAAGGGATTGCGAATTTGCCCCCCAGATGACTATGGCCTTCCGCGTGCAGCCGATTCAGCCTAACTTGCAGGAGAACAACAAATGATAACAAGAGCTTGTCATTTGTCAGTCTAATCTGGGTTGATGCTAAATTATCTGTAGGAGGATCATCTTTGCACCTTCTCATCTTCTTCCCATGGTCATAAGTGTGTCGGAACTAGACAGATGAATTGTGCCAATGAATGCTTGCTCTTTACTAGATAAAGTTGTTTCTTCCCGTATGGTAATTCTGTTCATGCAAGTAGTCTTGCTGCCCATCTGCTGATCCCTGATGGTATCTATATGAAACTAGAATTGTAACTCCTGCTCTTAATCTCTATATGGTAATTCTATTCATGCAAGTAGTCTTGCTGCCCATCTGCTGATCCCTGATGGTATCTATATGAAACTAGAATTGTAACTCCTGCTCTTAATCTCTATATGGTAATTCTGTTCATGCATAGTGTTGCTGCCCAT